ATATACTGTATAACGTCTGTATATAAAAGCAAAAACAGTATGGTGGGAAGAGAATCGTGGCAAGTCAGGTAAGGTAAGGGAGGGAGGGAGTGGCAGCCAGTGGCGGGCTGCCACTGGCTGCCACTGCCACTCAGCATACCAACTTAGTGGTTCATTACGGTAAACACGAATGTAGATACTTATATATAACGTCTGTATATAGTGGATAAAAGCAAAAACAGTATGGTAGGAGTAGAATGTGGATGAGTCAGGTGACTTGAGGGAAGGAGGAAGTAGCAGCCAGTGGCGGGCTGCCACTGCCACTCAGCATGCCAACTTAGTGGTTCGTTATGGTGAACACTAATGTAGGTACTTATGTATAACGTCTGTATATAGTGAATAAAAGCAAAAACAGTATGGTGGGAGGAGAATGTGGGCGAGTGAGGTGTTGAGGGAGTGAGTGGCAGCGAGTCGCCGGCTGGTGTGCGGCGGTCACTCCTCATTACTTTTTGACTCATGATAGCAACTTAGTGGTTTGTTATGGTGAACAAAACATGCAGATACTTATATATAACCTGTGTGTATATAGTGCAATAACCGACAAAATATTTGTTCATTGTTTGATGAACATAATTGAATCAACAAGATGTACACCATATTTTTGAGTACAGCGATGATTCACTCATTTTATTATATAAATATATCACACTACACACTATTGAATAATATTATAGCAAAAAAAACTAAGAAAAATCAATCAGAGACATTGAAATAATTAGGTAATTATCTCTTTGTGGCAACTCCGGCCTGACAGCTGGCGAGCAACAGACCGTCTGGGACGCACACTGAGTCAGCGCCTGTTTTTTGGCAGACTTCCCCGTCCTCTAGCGGGCAATATATGCCACTTATGATTTTTTTATTATTTTTCCCATGATCAGTGAAAACAAATTAACAGGTTTAGAAGATTTTTTTTTTTTTTATGGTATGTGCCTGTTAGTGACACATGCTAAATAGCCAGGCGCCATTTAAGGGCTAATTAGAGATGACACAAGTGGTCATGGGTGGCGCTCAGCCATTACTGGTTACTCTCACTGTATCGTCTTCATCGGTGCTGTATCACTTGTATCCGACACTGGTTAGGTCTTTATTGTGCCTAGCTTCATCAATATCATGACCCTTATGTTCTTCAAACAATATGATCTGAATTTCACTTACGAAGAGCGACCTTTCAACACTGCCACCGACAGGGGATTGGGAACCAGGGGCGCGTGCACAACCCATGGTTGCTCATTCAGAACTGATCCAACCAGCAGCTCTAGGAGAATCTGGGAATTTTTTTCAAGATAGCTGCCTCTCACTGGTGGTCCCAGGAGTTCATTTTGTACCCAACCTACTGTACACACATTTTGAATGGTACAAAATCTTAAAATCATGTTTTCTTGGCCTGCGCCTTTTCTGCCATGAGTATTGTCGGACGGCACAGTCCAGTGGTTAACCCTTAAACCGCGCAAATCATATATATATGCTTTCAGTGGCAAAACCGAAACCGCGCATGTCATATATATATGATTTCGTGTCTAGCGCTATAATTTAAACGCCCCGCCTGGGATAGGGGCAGCTATAGTGCAACCACGACCGATAGTTGCCAGATGCCACCTAGAAAAAAAATCCAGGCTAACTTTCTTGGGTGTGAGAGGGTCAGTATTGAGCAAGCCACCAAGGCTGGCGCACGCAGCACAAGCTCACAGCACCGCTGTTCAGCTTTTGACCACAGCATCGCCTACACATGCCATAATATATATGATCATGCTATTATTTAGTGATGATAGCATTATAGAAGACCCCCTGACTGATAAAACTGACCAGGATTCTGATAATAACAGGATTGTGGTGATATTTAGTGCTGTGCTCCATGGAGGGAGGAGTAAGGCAGTGGGAGGGAGGGTGGTGGCGTCGTCTTCTGACTGTGTGGGGCCACCTTTTAATGACTGCACTCACCATACCAGCTTAGTGGTTCGCTATGGTGAACACAAATGTAGATATTTATATATAATGTGTGTATAGAGTGTGATAACAGCAATAGGAGTAGGTTGGGAGCTGCCATTTTGGTGAGGGAGGTGCGTCATCTGCACGACTTATCATGTTGTTTACTGGTGGCCACTATGATCTTTGGGCACCATACCAGCTTATTTGTACAGGTATGGTGAATAAAACAGGTAGATACTTATGTATAATGTGTGTATATAGCGTAATAACACCACAAACAATATTGTTGGAGGAGAAATATTAGTGTGTCTGGCCTTGAGGGCGGCCGCCACCAGCTGACTGTGTGAGTAGCTACGTCTTCGTGTCTTTACTCACTATACAAGCTTAGATGTACAGTTATGGTGAACAAAACATGTAAATACTTATATATAACGTCTGTGTATAGTGAATAAATGCACAAACAGTATTGTGGGAGGAGAATGAGGGGGGAGTGAGGTGTTGTTGAGGGAGGGAGTGGCAGTGAGTGGCTGGTTGGTGTGTGGCGGTCACTCTTTGTTGCTTTTTGACTCACAATACCAACTTAGTTGTTCATTATGGTGAACAAAACATACAAATACTTATATATAACTTGTGTATATAGTGTAACAACAGCAAAACTGTTTGTTTATTGTTTTATGAACATAATAATTGAATCACTAATATGCACACCATAATTTTGAGTACAGCGATGGTTCACACATTTTATTATATAAATATTTCACAATTTGCTGTATTGAATAATATTACTGCAAAAAAAACTAAGAAAAAATCAGACACATTGAAATAATTAGGTAATAATATATTTGTGGCAACTGCCGCCTAATAGCACGAGCGGAGTAGACCTCGTCTGGCGAAGGCTCTGTCAACGCCCCTTTTTTGCCACACTTCCCTACCCTATTGCGGCTAAAATATGCCACCTACGATTTTTTTGTTATTTTTTCCGTGATCGGGGTACAAAAATGAACACTTCTATAAGACGAAAGAATTTTTTTGAATTTTTTTTTGTTGCGCCTGTGGGTGTTAAATCCATTTGGGCCCCTAGCAGTTTGAGGGTTAAATACCTTTTGAATACTTGGTGGTGATACTTGAAGACACTGATGGTGCTCGAGTCTCCTCTGGCTTAGCGCCTTCTATTGATAATTACTTCATCACTCAGTTGACCTAGGCTGCCACATGGTGTAGTCAGATTAGTGGGTATAAAGTACAGTACTGTAACTCAGAAAATTACAGTAAAATTTTCAGTTGATTATTTTATTACAGTATTTTCTTTAGTTGGTGGGGGAGTTTATCTTGGCAGTGAGTAGATCTCTCTAAGCTCCCTCACCACATGGAGGGAATAAGAAAGGGTAATTTCATCACACTATACACTGTTATATATGACAGTGTCAGACCACGAAGGAAATTTGAAACAGGAATTTCCTTAAGTACTTTCGTATATTAATACATCTTCAGAAGGAGTGAAGATGTTATATATATACAGGCATACCTCAGAATACGAGTTTAATCCGTTCCTGGAGATGCCTCGCATTCCGAAAACTCGCATTCCGAAGTTAATTTCCCCATAAGAAATAAAGGGAAATGAATTAATCCGTTCCTGACTACCCCAAAAACCTCACATCAAACTAAATTTTTATACCTAATTTACCTAATTCATCTAAATAAACCTACAAAACTATGTTCCAGTTATTACTTACCTTGCTGTCGAGTGCTGTAGGCGTATGGAAGATGGTGAGGAGGGGGGAGGAGGAGAGGAGTTACTGTTTGGAAGGGGAGTAACACCTTGTAACACTATGGATACCACTTCTCTTTCTAAATTTTTCAAACCAGCCCCTGCTTGCCTTAAACTCTTTCTTATCTGCATCACTCGTTGCAGGGGTATTCTTTAGAAGGTCTTCGCGCAACACCCTTGCTTTCTCACAAATAATGGCCTCCGAAACACTATCACCCCTCAACTCCTTGTCGTGTATCCAAATTAATAACAACTTTTCCACTTCTTCAAGTATTTGTGGTCTTTGTGCCGTTAATGTTCTTACTCCTTTTGCCACTTTAGCACCCATAATCTTATTTTTCTTCTTAAGTATAGTGCATATTGTTGATGTGGCTTTGTTGTACTGCCTACAAAGTTCAACAACACGTGTACCGTTCTCATGCTTCCGAATGATCTCTTGTTTCTCCTCTATTGTCATCCTCACTTGAGCTTTCTGGCCTTTATCCTTACCACTGGCTTTCTTGGGACCCATGGTGAGATATATAATAACAAATTGTATAGACAAATCACCAAAAATCCAACAAAACACTGAAAATCCGCGAGAAGAATTGATGTGGGGGTAGTCACTGAGCGCGAGACAATGGTAAACTGAGGGGCGGCGGGGCAGAGGGGCGACGATCGCCGAACCACCACGCGCTAGGTCGGCCTGTACGCGTATCAACAAACTCGCGTCCCGAAGTAACCCTCGCCTTCCGAGACAAATTTTTGGAGTAAATACTGCTCGCCTTCCGAAAACCCAACCCGTTCTCGCAAATTCGTAAAGTCAATATTGACTTATTAACTACGTGCATAGGTGATATACTAAACATAATAGATACCCTTAAAAAGATTCATAGAAAACACCGACCTTACCTAACCTTGTTAGTATCTTAAGATAAGCATCTTATTGCTTCGTAATTACAATTAATACTTAACCTATACCTATTATAGGTTAGGTAATAATTGTAATTACGAAGCAATAAGATGCTTATCTTAACATACTAAGTAGGTTAGGTAAGGTCGGTGTTTTCTATGAAGCTTTTCAAGGGAAACTATTATGTTAAGTATGTCACCTATGCACATAGTTAATAAGTCAATATTGACTTATTAAATTTGCGAGAACGGGTTGGAAAACCTCGCATACAGGGACAATCGCATTCCGAGGTACCACTGTATGTGCTATTGAAGACCTTTATTAAAATTAATATTGTCTAGACTCGTACCATATTATTATTAATCCTCATTGCAGAAAGATGAAAACAGATTGCGGTGAGCCTGCACCATGGCACCAAGGGTACAACTGAAGATGCCAGCTGTCACATCATAGAAGTAAAACTTGTCAAAACATCAACTATAAAACTCATTGTACTGTAGTATTCCTCATGCTGACCTCAAAGCAGCAGATATTTATATCAATGGTACTGTAATATTGTTTGTTTTAGTTTAGATTGTGTTTTATCTTGAAGTTAAGAATTATGCCATAGTTTCTACAATTCAGTTCACTCTTATATAACGCATGTTTAAACAGTTTGTTTTTGCCATGATGCAGTTTTCATGTAGTGACTAATGATTTAAACTGCATGCACTATTATTATTATATAACATGCATTTTTGGCATGTTTACCAGTCTATTCCAAGGAAGGAGGGGGAAGGGGGAGCAAATAAAAGTTGGTGGAGCAAAGACAATGCTAATTTGGCTCCCCTATGATCATCCACCCAATGTGCAACACCCACACAGGTGGGGGATGAAAAGGGAGGTAATTTATAGAGTTTAAAGAGGGTTAATAACCTACATCTACAATGGGTCATACTTGCCTATCATCACTGGTATTACTCAGCTTAGTGATATTGTGGAGATGTAGACTTTCAGAGCATTATTGAAGATTTGCCACAGGACTGATACAAAAAACTATATTTATTTTGCAGGACAATATGTCCAAAAAGAAAGTTGTATATTTATTCATTTGTGGCCATTTAGCTCCTTGTGACTTCTACTTTACCATAGTTGGTTTCTGCTAATTTAATGCTCATAAGAACTTGAATATAGATTGAAGTTATAAGATTTTCAAGTTTATCTATCATTTTAATTTATCTTGTTGGAACATATAAGCTAATAAGCCATAGCAGTGAAAATCCACACTGAGCTCATGCTGACCACAAGCATGAGCTGAGTTGGAACACAATATCCAACATGATAGTTGGAACTATCTCAATCATCATACACCCTGGACTCTGCTCCTATCATGTCCTTGTATCTCATTCAAGTGCTATACAGTCATACCAAGTAAGTAATTATCAAAAGAAGGCACCAAGCCAGGGAGGCTATGTAGCACCATCAAAAGTGCGGGACATTCAAAAGGTGCTAAATATCACTGAGGATGCCAATATGAGAACAATAGCGCAGGAGGCAAACAACTTCAAAGGCATTTGATTCACCACAAATACTATCGAGAGACAGTTGGGAAGCAAGACACATGCACATCCTAGAAGTCAGGACATTCAACAAGGATATGCACGACTGTAATAGGGACAATGCAATTCAGACAATAAGGAGCAGAGTGGTGCTCCATTAAGTGCCCATGAGTTAAGCGTTGATGGCCAATACGTAACCTCACCAGAGCCATTTCTCACCGCTAGTTACGGTGGTAGGAGGAAGGCCATGGGGAGACGCACTACCCTTAAAAGCATGCAACTTGTTATCAGAAACAGAAGACCAACAACCCTGACAATGGGCAAGGATTGAGGAATGAATTACTGGGTAGAAGTCGGAATAAGGAATAGCTTTACGGGAGATGGGGACAGGCGTGGATAGCTTCCTTTGCGGCAGCTTCTGCACGCTCATTTAAGAACACAATATGGCTGGGTACCTAGCAAAACTCGACTCTCTTAAATATGCTGAAGATAAGAAACAGCCAATCTTGAATTTTGATGACCACAGGATGGACAGGATTAAAGGCCTCCAGAGTCATGAGGGCACTGTGAGAGTCAACTACAACAACAAAGGAAGAATTATAGCGAGAAAGCAGTTGATGAAGAGCAAACAAAATTGCATAAAGTTCAGCCATGAAGATGCTAGTCTCTGGAGGCAGGTGACACATCGGTGCAGTCAGGAAACACAACGGAGTAGCCTTCACCGTCAGCAGACTTAGACCCATCTGTGAAAGCGGAGATGGAGCGGGAGTGTGAAGAAAAGTGAGCAAGGAAAAGGCGTTTCAGAACTGGAGGAGGGGTAAAATCCTTAGTAATGCAGGTCATAGTTCTACAAAACTTAGGAAGAGGAAACCCAACGTCGGGTGGCAAGGACAGAATGACATGAAGAGAAACATTGGTAGCATGAACCAAGAGAGAACCTTACAAGTGAGACAACCATTCAAAAAGGGAAAGGTGGTGAAAGGGAACAAGCCCCAACAGGATGAGTAACGGTCAAAGCACGACATAAGCGAGAGTGAGGGTGTTGTAAGGACCTCACAAAGTAACGAAGACAGTAGCGATCATAGCGATCTTGTAGAGACAGGATGCCGGTCTCAACATACAAGCTCTGGGTAGGGGTCAAACAAAAGGCACCAGAGCTAAGAGCATCAAGATGATGAAGGGTGGAAGGAGAATCAGACGAGTAAGCAGAACAGCCATAATCGAGTTTAGACAGTACAAGAGAGGAATGTAAAGAGAGAAGCGTGTGCTTATCAGCTCCCCAAAAAGTATGGAAAAAGACATTAAGTAAGTTAAGAGCTTTAGAGCATTCAACTCTGAAGTAGGAGATATGGGGGTGACCAGGACAAGTGAGTGTCAAAGATTAACCCCAGAGATTTAGCAGAATCCTTATATATGAAAGAGAATTACCATAAAGTGACAGAGGGGGGTCGAAGAACGACCTGCCTCCGAGTAAAGGTCATAGCATAAGACTTAGCTGGAGAGAACTTGATGTCATGATTGGTGGCCCAGGACGACACGACATCAATCGCAAGTTGAAGCCACCGTTGGAGAAAAGGCGAGTCATCACCTTGGCAGCAGAGTGTAAGATCGTTAACATAAAGAGCAGAGAAAATGTCAGAGGGAAGGGAGGAAAGGAAACCATTGAGGGCATCCAGGAAAAGAGTAGTGCTCAGAACGCTACCTTGGGGCACACCTTTGTATTGCCGAAAAGAGGCAGAGTGTGTGGAACCAAGCCGCAATTGAAAGGAACGTCGAGAGAGGAAGCTCTAGAGGAAGAGAGGGAGATTACCATGAAGACCAAAAGAATGAAGTTGGTACAGAATATGGTATCGCCAGGTCATACACCTTTTCCCAGGTTAAAAATGACAGCAACAATGGAGGACTTCACAGCAAAGGCAGTACGAATATAGACCTCCAAGTTCACGAGGACATCAGTCGTGCTGCGACACTTGCGAAAGCAGAATTGAGAAGAGGAGAGGTGGTGATAGCGTTCCAAGAACAACATCAGACAGACATTGACCATACGCTCAAAGAGTTTGCAGTCGCAACTCGTGAGAGCAATGGGGCAGAAGTCTTTAGGGGCTGACCTAGAGAACCAGGTTTCTGAATAGGAAGAACAGCCAACTCAAGCCAGTCCTCAGGGACTGACGATGACACCAGACATGGTTATAAACACTTGGTAAAAACTGAAACGTGCATGGAGGGAGATGGCGAAGCATCTCATATTGAATATCATCTGAGCCCGCTGCCATAGAATCACAGAGGGCCAGGGCAGGCTGGAATTCGGAGAGAGAGAGAGAGAATCGTTATAGGGAAGCTGAAGAGAAGTGCAAAAATCTAAGGGAGAAGATTCAAGAAATGGCTTACGAGTAAGGAAAGGAGGAGGAGGAAGATGAGAGCCAGAGCCAACTGGTGAAAAGTGAGAACCTAGTTTGGTCGCAACCGACACCAGATCTGCCACAATAGAACCATGGTGAAAAACTGGAGAGACATCTGGAACAAACTTACCCGCTATCTTGCAGATTTTCTTCCAGATCAGGGGATGAGGAGTGTCAGACGTAATGGTGGAAATGAAAGATCTCCAACCCTCACGTTTAGCCGTACTGATGGCCCTACTGGCTACCGCACTTGCCCTCCAAAACAAAACAAAAGAATCGGATGTTCTACAGCAACGGTGTTTCTTCCAAGCTGCACACTTACAGCGGATAGTCTGAGCACAGTCTGCGTTCCACCAGGGAATGCACTTCTGCATGCTCTTGGAGGCAGAGTGAGGAACAAAGCAGAGGGTAGCATCAAAAACAGTGTCATGAAAGAAGAGGAGGGCGCAGGGGAAGAAGCATATTAGAGAGGACAGAAAGAGTAGCACGCAAAGTGAAGAGATTCCAGTTAGCCCTGGCAAACTGCCACCTAGGGAAGGAGAGGGGGGAAGGGCAAAATGAGAAGAAGGTGACAAGGATGGGGAAATGGTCACTGTTATGTAGGTCATCAAGAACCCACCATGTGAAGTCCAAATAAAAAGATGAGCAGAGAGAGAGATCAAAACAGGAAAGGGTGTGAGTGCAGGAGTCAACATGAGTTGGCTTACCAGAATTTAGAAGACAGAGAAGAAGAGAGAACAAAAGATTCAAAGCGGCGGCCCTGGAAGTTTGTCAGAACATCACCCCAGAGGGTATGCCGACAGCTAAAATTACCCAAAAGGAGCTCAGGCTCTGGGAAGGAGTCCAACAGGTGTTTAAGATCAGGAAGAGAAAGTAGGACATTCAGGGGAGATAAATAGAACAGACTGTATACCATTTACTCACAAAGATATGTGCTGCAGAACACTGAATGGGTGAATGAAAAAGTAGGGGGACGAAAGGAATATCAAGACGGATCAAGAGAGCAGTAGAGGCATGGGCCTCAGCAAGATCTGGAAGGGAAGAGAGAGAAAGGAATAACCATGGAAGCGACGAGGACAAGCGCCAAGCATTGGCTCCTGGAGCCAAACACAAAGCGGGGAAAACTACACGATCAGAAGTTGGAGTTTATGGAAGTTGGCATAAAAATCACCAATATTTCATTGAAGAACAGACATAGACAAAAAAAGAAAAGAAACAGAGATAATAAGGGAGAAACAAAGGCAAAGCAGAGCACAGTAGACTAAGGAAGAACAAGATCAGGATCAGTGAAATCAGGGTGATGGGGCAGAGTTAAAGCTAGCAAAGATAACCGAGACAAGGGAGTGAGAGGACGGACCAGAGGCGAATGGACAGAGTCTGGAGCGGGAGGAGGCAATGGAGAGGAGTGGTCAAGGAAATTAGGGGGAGGAAGGACAGAAACAGATGATGGCACCGAAGCAAGGGCAGCATCCAAGAGAGGATCAAGGACCAAGGAAACCTCCATAGGAGGGACAGGAGACCCCACCATTGAAAAAGGAGAGGAAGCAGGGATAGTGTCGGAGTTGGAAGGTGAGAAATACATTGAAGCCTTTTTACCCGCCAAAGAGGAAGAAGGAGAAGAGCCAGGCTTACGCTTCTGATGGAGAGAGACAGGTGTACCATCAGCAATATACTGGGCGACCACCTCAACAGTTTCAACAGGAGAAGAAGGAGAACTGGAAACATGACGAACGCTGGGAGGAGGATGGACAATGGCCTGAGCAGACAGACAGCGAGGATGACCAAGAGACAGAGGGAAGGGCTAAGAAGGGAAGGAGGGCACAGGAGACAAGGAAGACCGGGAAGGAAGTAAGGAAACATCAGACGGAGAACCAGGAGGAGGACCCTCTGGCCAGAACACAAAGAAGCAGATGGAGCAGACGAGGTGTTGGTGGTGGTGTCGGGGTTCAAGGCCTCAAAAGGGTTGCGAAACTGAGAAAGTGGGAGGGGTGAGAAGAAGGGGCACGCAATACACGAGCATAAGACATGCCAGAGACAGAGGGAAGACGGCGAACCTGGCACCTAGCCTCAGGGAAAAGACAAGTGATCACGATGCTTGAAACTGAGGATGGCTTTCTCAAATTTGAAATGCACACATGCACGGGAGAAGGCAGGATGGGCATCACCACCACAATTTATGCAGAGAGTTTGGGAAGAAGGGCACTCCATCTTAGAATGACTCAAGGTTCCACACAAGGGGCAGAAAGGCACCTCACATGGGCACCTGGAGGGACAATGCCCAAATCTCCAGCACTTGCTGCACAGGCGAGGAGAGGGGATGTACTCCTGAATGGAGCATCTGGTACCAGCAAGAATGACTGAAGAAGGAAGGGACCTACCATCAAACATGACCTTCACAACGCGAAGGGGCTGATGGCGATGACTACGAGGGGGCCGAGTGAAGGTATCCACCTGGAGGATAGAATGGCCTTGGGCCTCAAGAATGTACTTAAATTAATATCCTTGTGGCAGTCCTTAAGTTCCCTGTCATCAATCGCGACATGGTGTGGGAGAAGAATTGTGCTAATGCAGGCTGTCAACTGGGCATTTTTGGAGATCCGAATAGGGGGTCTTCCCAATGCAGAACAACGAAGCCAAGTGGGCAGCCTTTTCCTGAGAAGGGGCTGCAACAACATGGATACCAGAACGAGTGGGGTTAAAGGTGATCAACGTATCCACCGAATCAGCAAGATGCTTATGGAGAAATAAATCATCAGGATGAGTAGAGTCAACATGACTAAGATCAAAATACATAGTCCATGTAGCAGGATCATACAAAGCCTGGAAAGAAAGAGATAGGGAAAGAATCAAGTGAGAGCAATTGCAGAGATGATGATGCCGAGCACCCCCAGTAAGAGATGGGTAAATGGTGCAATTGTGACAATGAGAGACGGAGCCACGCCAGGTGATGGGGTCACCAGTGGGGTCTTGGGCTCAACCCCACCACAGAGGTGGGAGGGGAACAGAGAGAGGCAGTCAGGAGAGATCTTAGAAGGAACATGGTCAGGGCCCAATGTAGCGGGGGGCTACAGAACCTTGTCTTCCAGCACAGTCTAACTCAGGGGGCTTGGTCGCCCACCCCATGAGTCTGGAAAGTGAAAAGAGGGTCAATCATAGCATAATAATGAGCAGGTAACAATTTCATTCACAAATAAACCCCCATACCCACCATGGAGCCACAATTAGAGGATAGGACACCCGACAAGATGGGGCTCCCCAAAGGGTGCATTGTAAGTATATGTTCCGCAATCGCCACCTTAAGAACCATCAGTCTGTCAAGATCGGGTTCAGCAACGAAGGCGAGGATTGACAATAAAAGCATCCACTTGCTCGCAACGTTGGCTACCACAGTTCTACAGGTGAGAGAGTGTGCCTCACCAAACACCTGGACGTCAAAACAGAAGATGTTCGAAAGAATAATCAAGAAAGGCATAAAGTCGTCAGGAAATGACAATTAGAAAGGAGTAAAAGGGGGGAAGAAAAAGTTAACATATGGAAGGGGAAAAGACTTCTGACAATTTGTGAAGGTAGCAGCAGGAGCATAAGGCTACAAAAGGACAGAGGACTATCCCATGGAGCATCACACTCCGGCAACCGCCCACCAAGCCTCCCTCACGATGACAACGGGCCAGAAAGGGAGGGGGGGGGACATTCATACCAAGTTAATGCTTGCTCATGACAATTACAGTTATCCACTAGGATTGGCACAAGTCATGTATCGTATGTTTCTTACTGAGCACTTTCCTTTCAATAATTTTTTTTTTGCTTAGATTTTTAGATCATAAGTATTATTATTTGTGGCATTAAAATAAAAGTTTTATTTCAGGAAAGTTACTTCTGAGATGATGCTGAGGTAGAAGAGATAGATGACAGTACTGTGAGAGCAGGGGGAACCTAAGATAAAAATTGGAATAATGAAAATATAATATCAAGATTTGAATTCTGTACACTTATGATGGATGTTGCAGGAAATTTAAGACATGCTTGCTATATTTTTAGTTTTGATATAGCAATGGCAAAATGACTTCTGAGTATCATATGCAAGTTTAATGTGTTCAGTGACAGCATTGGCATCTTCATCTGCCAGCATATTATGAAGTTTATGAAATGCTGGCAAGAAATCTTCAGAGCAAACCTCAAAAGCTTATCACATCTTCTAAATAGGGGTTCAGTCATCCTATTTGGCAATTATTAAATTAAAATTTAAAAAGGTCAGAAACCACCATAGGTATTTTCAGTATACCTATTAATATATGAATTGGGTGGATAAAATATGATTACTTTGTGTAAACAACTTTTCATTTGGGTGTCATATTACCGTCCCTGGTGCCAAGCTGGTGACAGTACTCAGAGCAGTATTTTGATGGCTGAACTGAGATACCCCACACCAAAGTCTGCAAGGCTGTCATTATGGCAACTTGGAACACTTAAGTTCACTTTAGATAATTCTTTATTTTGACAGCTGTCAAATTATTACAATAAGGTTTGACAGCTTTTTCGTGTAATACAGTATTTATATTTAAAAGCTCCAGTTTCAAAAAGTTACTTAGATAATTTTTTTGTTATAAAATTATCTTAAATTTTATTATGGTAATATTTCCAAAAATTCACAGCTGTTTTTCTATTAAGGTCCCAAACTGCCATAAGAGCATGTCTGTGTATGTTTTATTGCTGTTGTATCCTATGTGTATATAGCAATGGCCTGTACTAGTCGTGTAGTTTGCTGTTGTACTACTCGTGTGCACATGTAAAAAGTGTCGTCACCTTGCACATGTACAGATTAGCAGTGTAAACCTAAGTAAACATTTACAGTGTATGATGTAATAATGTACAGTTCTACAACCATACCATTTATTGCTGGTCATTGAACAATTATTTGGTTGGTATCCAATATCTGTTAAAGATACTTCTGTTGCATGCACTTGTCAACACTAATTTCATTCCTCATAATGCTTATGCATTATGAGTCTCTCTCTAGCTCAGCAACAAGGCAATAGGGTATTTGAAACTATTTTACTACATGCTTAACAGGTTTAGCCATAGTAATCCTTCATGCTTTTGCCAATATTATCTACAGTATTTCTCAAAAGTGTGTTGCTATCTTATTTTGAAGTACTGTACAGTATATATTTTTTGTCAGAAATAAATATGTAGATTTATAGAAGTGAATATCATTAAAATGAAAAGCTTAATTTTCTGTGCATTTTATTGGGTTTGCAGATTTAGAATTTTACATTCAATCCAAACAATTAGCACTTCAAAACTATATTACAATGTAACTTATTCTTAAACTGCTTGATTTTTTTTGGTTTGGATTAAATCCAATAAAATATGAACACAAAACTCTCGAACTGTATTTGTTAACATATTAGAGCCGTAGCTCACAATAATGTCGAGAGGAAACACTCACAAGACCAAGTTTTCTCAATGGCAAGTTTTTTTTTTTTTTAACATGCTATAATAAAAAATTTTGGTTCTTATAGAATCACCAAATGGATATAATGCAGCTAATATTAAAATATTATGCGAGTATTAATATACAGTATACAATTATTGTACTGTAAGCTTTAAATGACAGCAGTTAAATTGATTGGATCCCTAATGAATTATATATATGGTATTAAACATGAACACTACCATATCACGAAGCTCTTGGCAAGTGAACACTAACTGTATAGAGCTATGTATATATATCATAAATTTGTATTGTATCAGGTATTTTGATAGTTTCTCAAGAATTGTCTTAGTACATTATATGTAAAATGGTGAACTACATTTCCTAAATATTGTACTGTATGTTGTTGAAGGAAGCATGCAAAAAAAGACCAGCATTACTGAGATATATAAAAATATATCACTGTGACAATTTGTTCCTTTTAGGTTTTGAGATTTTTAATATATGGGCCTATAACTTTTTTCATAACATGAATAGGTGCCAAACGTAACGAGTAGATATCTTCCCTAGATAGCCATTCGATGCTTTAGACACGTATCCATATTACTGCACAAAAATAGTTCATAGATCCATGTATAGTTTAATTTTTTATTATTGACTGTCTATGTATTGAATGTTTGTCAGAGTTGTAAGTTTTTTTTTAAATAATGCAGTCTATAATATTTCTTGTAAGCTGTGAATGCAATTTTTCCCTTTCAGAATTCATGAGGAATGGATCATTCTTGAATTCTTTTAAAGTATCAGAGTTCCTTGAGTTTTGTTATCACAGCTGTAACATCCCTGGGGGAGTCTGTGTCTGTGTTTCTGAAAACACAAAGTCTGTGTTTTCTTATGACCGTGAGGCAACAAACATTGCCACAACCTTTGAGTCTATCCTCATTAATATAAGATTTGGCATAAATTCTGCATTTGGTTCAGTTCCTCTACCAATTATAGATACCTTTACTAAGAAAAAAGGTTGATGCATTATCTGTCATTTTGGTGTACGTGGTTCAGAAAAACTAGTTGATCACATCTTGTTATTGTAATATTGAAAATCATTCATTTTTGGGTACTGAAGGGTTAATTAATGTACAATGAACCTAATAGTAAACCAAGATTTTGTAAGTGATCATTATTGAATAGTGAAAAATCTACATAAACACTGAAACCATCTGCATTTTATTTTCTGAAATACTAATAAAATTATTATATTTTGTATGCATTTTCTCTAAACATAGTGGGAATTAAAGTTTTCCCCCAGGTACAGTATTTCAATCACAGCTCTCTTCAAACACTGAAATATTAGAAGGCAACAGCAGCACTTCAAAACACTAACGATATTTAAAGATAATATTTTGGATCTAATTACAGTACAGTATTACTGTATTTGATCAAAGTACTGTAATTATCAAAAGACTAATTGATTAAAATATGACATTTTGGGAAGCATTGTAAGAACAAATTATCTTAATGGAGTTAACTGCTTAACACTTTATTGCACCGCGTGTGCGAGACCCACACTACCCCGGGTAGGCCTCAGCGTTTCACAGGAGTGCGCGGTAATTCTGAAAAGTGTATAATCTTTTCAACTTTGTCACCTCAATTCTCGTCCAAGGTTTTCAATTTGGTATCATTGTGTTCGCAATAGAATTCTCTACAGGACTAAAGGCATATAAAGTCCAAAAGCCCAGCGTACCATCCACAACAAACAGAGAAAGTGAGTGCGTGTTACCTGGGAGCGCGCAAGAGCGATAAAATGTTTACACTCCTTTCACGTTTGTCACCTCAATTCCCGTCCTAGGGCTTTCATTTTGGTATCATTGTGTTCGCAATAGAATTCCCAACAAGAGTATATGCATATAAAGTAAAAAACCACAGCGCGCTCCACCCGCCAACAAGATGAAAGTGGCTCAGACAGAGAGCACTGCGCCACCCCAAGGCACCTCTCATTACATTAGAGAGCGCGGTAATACTTTACTGAAAAGTGTATTCTCTTTTTCCACTTTATCTCATTTCTCGTCCTAGGTTTTTCAATTTGGTATCAATGTGTTCGCAATAGAATTCTCTACAAGACGAAATGCATATAAAGCCCAAAAGCCCAGCGAGAAAGTAAGAGTGTATTACCCAGAACCACGCAAGAGTAATAAAATATGTACACTCTTCACTTTGGAGCCGGTCGGCCGAGCGGACAGCACACTGGACTTGTGATCCTGTGGTCCCGGGTTCGATCCCGGGCGCCGGCGAGAAACAATGGGCAGAGTTTCTTTCACCTTATGCCCCTGTTACCTAGCAGTAAAATAGGTACCTGGGTGTTAGTCAGCTGTCACGGGCTGCTTCTTGGGGGGTGGAGGCCTGGTCGAGGACCGGGCCGCGGGGACACTAAAGCCCCGAAATCATCTCAAGATAACCTCAAGATATAACCTGGACATCTCAATTCTCGTCCTAGGTCTTTCATTTTGGTAACATTGTGTTTGCAATAGAATTCCCTACAGGAGTATATGAAAATATAAAGTCCAAATGCCAGGTGTACCACCCACAGCAAACAGAGAAAGTGACGGAGCGTAATCCCAGTGAGCGCTAATAAAATGGGTATACAGGCATACCTCAGTTTAAGAGTTTAATGGGTTCCTGGAGACGCCTCGTATTCTGAAAACTCGCATTCCGAAGCTAATTTCCCCATAAGAAATAAAGGGAAATGAATTAATCCGTTCTTGACTACCCCAAAAACCCCACATCAAACTAAATTTTTATACCTAATTCATCTAAATAAACTTACAAAACTATGTTCAAGTTATTACTTACCTTGCTGTTGAATGCTGTAGGCGTATGGAAGATGGTGAGGAGGTGGGAGGAAGAGAGGAGTTACTGTTTGGAAGGGGAGTCCCCTTCCATTATCACATCAGGCAGTGAGGACTTCACTGGTATGCACTCTGGCACATTTTGCCTGCATACCACTAGGACTTGCTTGTTTTACTAAGAATTTGTCTAATGACACTTGTTTTTCCCTACATTTTAACACTTGTTTGTAGTAAGACATCACATTATCATTTAAAAGGTCAATGCAACGGCCTGCTACAGCTTTATCTGGGTGAGTTTTTTCAACAAAACTTTGCAGTTCTTCCCATACTTCACACATTTTCTTAATCAAGAAGGGACATCCTCTATTGCCTCTACTCACAGCTATTTTCTTAGGTTGAACCTTACCAATGGCTTTCTTGAGACCCATGGCAAGATATATAATGACAACTTTTATGCTCAAATGGCCAAAAAACCGATAAAAAACTGTAAATCCTTGTGAAGAATTCAGGTGGGATAGTCACTGGACACGAGACACTGGTAAACTGAGGCGCGATCGCCATGCCACCACGCGCCAGTCGGCTTGTACATGTATCAACAAACTCGCGTTCCGAGGTAACCCTCGCCTTCCGAGACATATTTTCCGAGGAAATCCTACTCGTCTTCTGAAAAACTTGCATACAGGGACACTCGCATTCCGAGGTACCACTGTACTATTTTCAACTTTGTTACCTCAATTCTGGTCTTAGGTCTTTCATTTTGGTATCAATGTATTCCCAATGAAATTCCCTACAGAAGTATATGCATGTAATGTCCAAAACCGCGGCGCGCCCCACCCGAACCCACCGCCAATTTGCCGCCGCCGCCGACGCAATGCTGTGTCGTTACCGGAAATGCGTCTACTAAAAAAAGACGCAATGCCGAGTCGTTACTGACCGAAAGTGATTTATTAAGAACCACCTTGAGAGCCACATAGAACCAGAGCATATATTTGGTAAGGATCTTTAGGGAAAATATGATGCGTTGCAGGATCAAGGCTCGATTCAAAATGCTGTTTGAAGTAATTATCAAAAGAAGGCACCAAGCCAGGAAGGCTATGTAGTACCATCAAATGGGTGTGACATTCAAAAGGTGCTAAATATCACTAAGGATGCCAATACTAGAAATAAAGCTCATAAGCGAACGATATCAAAGATATCGAGATTTATCGATATCAAAGATTTACCAAGGAGTCTATCGAGGGACAAGGGATGGTCGGGAAGCAAGACGCATGCATGTCCTGGAAGTCCAGACATTCAACAAAGATCTTATTGAGAGGTTATTTTGAGATGATTTTGGGGCTTAGTGTCCCCGCAGCTTGATCCTTGACCAGGCCTCCTTTTTGTTGTACATCCCCAGGAAGCAGCCCATATCGGCTGTATGCTTTTCCCCCAGATATATGGCTTCATGCATGGAAGGAGCGTGCATCATTGCATCACCACCTTTCTTACCCTGCACACTGAAAAGTCATATACCACCTTCCTAGATCTTAAGTCTGCCTTTGATATTGCAAATAGACATGTTATCTTGAGTGAGCTTGCAAGAATGAATATTGGTGGTCGGCTTCTTTGTTGGATCAGGGGTTACTTATCCAACAGGAAGTCATCTGTATTTTTCCAGGGGCATAGAAGTGTAACAAGAGACTTTGAACTAGGCACCCCGCAGGGTAGTGTCCTCAGTCCTACCTTATTTAATATCTTAATAAACACGCTGTTAAACTCTATACCGAGCAAACCCAACGTCCACATCATTAGCTATGCTGATGATATAATGATACACACCGCTGGGTATGCTAACACGCAGAACACTCTTAACTCTGTATTAGACTCATGTCAGGACCTAGGTTTAATTATCTCAGCAGAGAAAACAAAGATACTAAATCGGCGCCCACCCAGGCAGGGAGGAGCTGTTCGCAAGATGCAACTGTCTGATGGCTCCCACCTTGACTATGTAAACAGATTCAAATACCTTGGCCTTGAGGTGCCACTGTATGGTCCTGTTGTATTCAGACTCTGTCGTCAGTTTAAAGAAAGGCTCCGAGCTCTCAAGGCTGTTGCAGGTTATCACTCAGGCTATGGTGCCAATGTCAGAATTGTCAAAATGATGTACTTTGCATACATCAGATCTTTAGTGGATTATGCTGCACCTCTGCTTGTTTTGATGCCTGAAAGAAAGCTTGGAGGGCTTGAAAAATTGCAGAACGAAGCCTTGAGGATAATCCTTGGGTGCCCTCGTACCACAAAGATACTTAATATGAGAAAGGAACTTAATATTCTGAGCGTTGTTGATCGTGTTACTGAAATTAACTGTCAAATTGGTATAAAAATGCTTAGGCTAACTCATCCTAATCCTTGCACAGAAGCCCTCCAGAATTTCTTTATTGAAGATCAGCATTGTTCCAAATGGATAACAAAAACTGGAACTCAACTCAGAATGTATGGGGTTCATGATTTGTACCAAGAGAAACAACAACGGCACTTTTCTGACCAGGGGGAGAAAGATACTGGCAGTATGGGGCGTTAAAGTTTATTGAAGATTAAATTCTGCAGAACATGCAAATATATAAAGTAAGAATTAACAGTAACAATTCCAAGTCCGAGGACTAGATTTAACATAAAAGGTACACCCGTAGTAATTATGAGACCTTAGCCTATAGTGACATGGAAGCTAATTCTGCAGAAACGTAAAGCTTAACTGGTACTAGAATTAAGGCCGAGTGCAAATGTGTAGTAATTATATAACACTGGGATATAACAGGCAGGACACAAAGAGTAACTAATAAGTGAGAGACCACATAACACATAATGTACCCGACCAAGAGGCCGGAAAGACCTAATGAATAAGGAGAAGGGGGTGACTACAAGTAGGGCTTACTAGCACCTAGACTGGGCAAAGTATTAGCTGCGGACAGCGGGACACTTGGGGACCGGCGCTGCACCCCCCTTCCCACATGCAGTGGGGAGACAATGGGGACAACTGTGCAAAGCATGACGGGGGTACAAAAGCAGCCGCTTGCAAAGGGGGGGAGGGTGGGGTTTTGCGAGGGCAGCGGCGAGGGCAGGCGGAGTGAGGGCAGAGCCCCATTGTGCGCCCGTATTTATACGGCCCCAAACTGCCCGCGCAACGCCGCGGGACACGCTGCGCAATTGTTTCTTTCTCCCCCATCAGAAACATCCCCGCTTGCGATCAAGCAGTGACCATATCTCTCCCGCTTGCGCTCAAGGGAGTACAGATTTAGGCTCTTTAGTCGGTCCCAATAGTTTATTTATTTATTTATTTATTTATTTATGCATATACAAGAATGTACATAAGGAATGTGAGGATACAAATATGGTAATTACAGTCTTGTAAAGCCACTAGCACGCGCAGCGTTTCGGGCAG